AAAATACAATATGACTGTGAGGTAGAAGCTAACAACTTGGAGTAAATAAGTGCATTTCCCTTATTATGTAATAGGCACTCAATAAACTGGGGATGTTGTTAATATACTAGAGGCCTGATGCACGAAATTCGTGCAAGAGTAGGCCTTCGCAGCCCCGGCTGCCTTCGCCTTTGCAGCCCGGCTTTGTCCGGAAGGTCTTCCGGATGGTCGTTCCGCTGTTCGGTTGATTTGCATATTATGTTTTTATTATTATAGATGTTCTAGTTGTTATTTGGCAAACCCTGCAGGGAAACATGGAAACTTTTGACTTAGGAGGCAGATATCCCTCATAGAATACTGAGTTGGAAGGCAGTAGGTATATAAATATCTCGTAACCAAGCTTAATTTATTGACGTCCAGGGTATAACACGTTAGGAAGCATCAAAAACCACAGTAATTGACTGGAAAGGAAGCTTGTTTCGTTTGCTCATTTACTTTGGGGTTAGCTGATTATTTGACTTGTTACGCTTTTCTCCTTTAAAAGGCCTATGTTAAAAGTAATGTATTTGCAAGGCTTTGCTCCAAGTAAAATCAGAATCTATAAAAATAATTTAAGTGTGAAATTTGCTTAGAAAGAGCTGCAAAGATCTTTTGTATCCCTCCCTCCTGAGTGTGATTGCCAGCCAGTGTGTTATCAACTCTGAATGCAGCTTGGTGCCCTTCATGGGGGGAGTCCACAGTACAAATACACCGGGTCTTACTTGGTGATGAAAAGTAATTAAACTGCCCAGCACTAAGGCTGATATGGATTCAAGGACAAGCTAAGCCATTTACCCAGCTCCGTGACCTTGTGTAAGCTGCTTAACCTGCCTTCGCCTCAGTTCCCTAAAGTGGAGATAATAGTGAAGATTCAATAAGATAATGTATGTTACTCCACAGGAAATGTTAGGCACTGCTGTTCAGCACACGAAGGCAGATGCATTTAGTAAAGAAAAACAGTTTCCACCATTTGTGTAAAAATTTAAAGTGGGAAAGGGGTTTGGTGTTTTAACTTCCATGCAAGAAAGACCTGGAATGGCAACCTTTGTTTTTATCTTAATTTTGCAACTTGCTCTCATGTTCCTGTCCATCACTGAGCTAACTGCAGTGGGTTTTGTCATCCCCTCACTTACATTCAGATTGCCCTTATTTAACTTCTGGGAGGCCCCCAGTGCGCTAGGACGTCCCCTTTTCCCTGATCTCTGCATGGCGCACCTTGTCTTTAGCTCCAGAAGTTAAGCGTTCCTGCTCTTCTCCTGCAGATTCTGTGCACACGTTTGTCTCTTGAATTTGCCCCTCGCCACCCTCCCCACTGCCTCTTTCTTTGGTCTTGGCACTTGGTCCTGAATCCTGGACAGTGGAATAAGCCCCTAATTCCTTTCCCATTTGTTCCCAGTGAGCCCTTTGGCACCCTGATGCCAGAGTGATCCCCTGGAACGTGCTGATTCGGCCCTGTTTTCGCCTGTTCAAAGTGTCCCATGAGTTCCCCTTGTCCACAGGACAAAGGCAGACCCTTTCAGAAACCTTCTATGACTTGGCCCTGTCCCTGCATCCATACTCACGTCCTGGCGGTGGTTACTTTCTCCTCCTGTCCCAGCCATTCCAATCTTCCCGAGAGCTGTGCACGGTTTCACTCCACCCGACCTTGCCACATCCGTGCCCACTTCTGGGATGCCCCTCTCCTCTCCCACACCTGAGGCTGCCTAGCCAGCTCCCAGACGACGCTTAATAAAGCCGAGGCTCAAGTATTGTGTCACTTGGGAATATTTGAATCCCAAGGAACAGAAAACACAAGTTAAACTACTTTAAACAATAAAGGGACTTGATTGCCTGGTGTAACTGAGAAATCCAGGTAATTGGCAAGGCTAGAACCATTGTCTCAAAGATAGCACCCAACACCCAGTTTCTGTCTGTTTCTTTTATGCCACCTTTCAGGTCTATCAGGTAGTGGCCATTAGATTCCTAGGGTGAATGATGCCCCTTCTTTCCTGCTAGTTCTCTTGGAAAAAGAAAGGGAGTTCTTTCCCAGGAATCCCCAGCAAACATTGTTTTGCATCTTGTTTTCCCAGGCTGAATCTCCGACCATCTTTGAACCAATTGCTTTGTCCAAGCCATGAGTGTTGCCATTAGCTTAATTTAACCTGCGCTTACTCTTGAGGTTGAGCATATCGTCAGTTCCGCCAGATTTTGTCATCATGAATAATGGGGACCATCACTGGGCGAGAAACAGTCCTGACCCTCCGCCCTTCATACTGCTGCGTACTTTTAAAAGACCTCTGTTCCAGGCCTTTCCACACCACACTACTATTTTATAGCGAGTATAGTCCTTTATCCCCAGTGCCTCTATCTAATGTTTACCTGATGCTAAATTTTTAACACATATTTCAAATATATATGCACAAACTTTGGTTTATGACTGTGACCGATACCAAATGTCTGATCTAACTAGGTATGTGTTAGTGGCCTTATCGTGACATTAGGAAAGTAAAACAAGGACACACACACGAGTACCACGGGGACCTGGCAGTAAATGCCTTGACGCTGCTCACTTAGAGTGAGTGGTGCAGACCTTATCAGCATGTGGTCCCCGGGTATCAGGGCAGGCGCACTCCTCGCTCTGCCTGCAATTGCTTCGCCTGCCTGGTATTTGCAGCTCCTGTTCACAAGGTCTTGGCCACAGCGCAGTCATTTCTCTCACTTTATTACCATCACATCTGATTCCAATTTGCTACCAAATTGAGTTTCCAGTCCCGAGCCTGACATTCAAGCCGTCAGGTGGATTAGCTCCTCCGGCTCGGTTAGCTTGGAAGCGTCAGGTCAGCTGACAGCGGCCTATTGAATGTCCTTGCGCCTCATCTCTGAGCCCGGGCTGCTGTCCCGCAGAGCCGCAGTGCTGGGCTGCACACCGTAACCTTTCTTCTTGTTTAGAACTCATAATTCTAGACGAACTCAAAAGACTGATTAAAAACAGAGCCCCCCCCCCCCCCCGCCCCAGAGCAGAGCGGCCAGTGGATGGTGGAGTAATTTCGTGAAATATGATTGATCCAACTCTTTGGGATCACTCATTATGCCTTTTCCCTTTTATAGTGATCTATTTGCATATAAAGTTGAAGTGACGTCTGACATTTTCTTTCTGTTATTAATGCTAACATCCCAGGTACCCTTCCTTTTCTTTAATCTGCTGAATCCAGTAAGAGTCACCTTACTGCACAGAGTAGTGTTTCTTTATTGGACCCCTTGGCGTCTTGCTGTGCAGTGGGTCTCTAAGTCTTTTCTACAAGGAACAGTCCGGTGAACAAGTACTTCTAGGAAGGCCTCTCATTTCTTTTTAAAATCTGAATACAAAACTAATTTCTCAGGGCTTGTCAGAGCCAAAATGCAGAAATAGAAAGTTACTCATTGGTTTTGCATTTCCATTGCAGTTCTGAAGGAAAACTGTCATAGTCAGAGGCTTTAGTCAGTGAAGGTATATTTACATTTCAGAATCAGGGAGCCAAGTTCAGCAAACACTATAATTTCATGAGCTAATCAAGGCTTAAGCAATAAAGCAAAACAAAACAGCACAAAAAGCATTTCACCACTGACCCCTACAGACCTTGAAAGAAAGTTTGCTATTGGAAGAAGGAAAAAGATACCCTGTTCCTAAAATTGTTGATTGTTTCCTCTTGCAATTAAAGAGTGATGTGATTATTATAACCCTGTATCAAAATGCATTTGCCACTTAATCGGTCCAGCATCATATCTAAAGCAGTTATCCTCCCCTCCAGCCTGCGACACTCAGGCCATGTTCTGTGGAGCGAACTGCATTGTCTGGAAGTGCGATCTCAGGCCGCTGTCTTGGTAGGCACTGAAGGAGCCCATAAAAACAGGGAACAGGAAAGGTGAGTTTGAAGCTGAGGGGAAAACACTTTTCAAAAGATAATGCTTGAGCTCCTGCAAGGCAAAGACATAAATTATAGTTATGGGAATGGAAAACCAAATTAGCCCAGTCTTTATAGTGTGTCCTTTTTGAATTTAAATAGTCCAGTAACTCATTGCTTCCTATTCTTTAATTATTGTCATCAGGTAATTATTCTTGAGCACCGTGGATTTGAAAACTTCATTAATGGGTGGAGGTACTCCTGTGTCCCTTTGTGTTTATTTGTTTGCTTGTTGTTGCTCTCCCACAGCCCCTCTGTAGTTAGGTTCATAATGGTCTTAATTAGAGATAAGTGTGAGAGCACCCTTTTAAAGCTAGAAAGTGCTCTATTAATTGGTGTTGCTGTCTAGTTACCTTTTTAGAGGTTCATTAACCTACTTCAAATATCCCAAGTCATAATTCACATTTATTTAAAAAATAACACCAGAAAGAAGTCTTTTGATTTATTTTTAAAAATTAAGTGTAATTTGGGTATGCACAATATTTTGGCATGAGTCTGTTTCTGTTGGGGACAAATTGTCTGACTTAACTGTTCTTTTCATTTCACAAGAGTAGCCCTTTGCAGCCCTGGCTGCCTCGGCCGGCCCTCACAGCTCCGTCTTCGGGCTTCATCCGGAATGTCGTCCCGACGGTCGTTCCAACTGTTCGGCTGTTCAGTTGATTTGCATATTACGCTTTTATTATTATATAATCCTGCAAGACTTTTCCTCCTTATGTCTGTTTCTTCTTTGGATAAGGCCTTTGGTTCATCAGATTTGTCTTATGCTCAATTATAGGGCCAGGTAACTCAACTCAGTATTTTACTGTCATTGCTTTCTGAGGAGTGGTGTCTCCTGCTCTGGAATTTAGGTAAACAGTGTTTGTATCTTGAACACAATAGATAAAAAGAACAATATAAGGAGGGATCCAGCATAAAATTATGACATTAAAATTTCTTATGTATAGCAAATGCCAAATTACGCATAAGGAAGGACAATACATTTCTTGTTATCCATTTCCTGTCCCAGTGGTCTGAGGGAATGTAGCTTCTCATATATATTTTTGTGTTTTTTTTCTGTTGCAGAAGGAGCTAAGTCTTCCCAGGAGAGGAAGTTTGTAAGTAGCACGATTCTGTTCCTTTTTTGGGGGGCTTGGGTGGGGGGAGGTACAGTTTGTAAAGTGATTATTCTCTGACTTGTTAGATTTTCAGTGGCAAATGGAAAATGAATGATAATCAACCAAATTAGGAAAACCAAAAAGTGCGTTTCTTTATAAATGTTCAATATTAGTGATTTCAAGGTAACTTGAAAGTTTTCAGGTTGTTTTTAATTTCCTTACTGGCATTGTAAACCAAAATGCATATTTATTCCTAGAAGAATCTTAATTTAAATTTTAAAATTCTATGTAAACAAGCAAAAACATTATTTGGTCTGCAGATAGTATAAATTGGTCTGAATCAAGAATTATGATCTGGAAATCTCTGATTGTTCTTTATACTATGGATTTCATGCAGAGTAAATAATGCAGTTTATACTTGAATTAAGGAAGACTTTGAATGAACTGAGCTCTCTATTGTTAGATCTAGGTCTTAATGAACTGATCCTTGTAAGGCTTTTGTATTTAAATAGCAGATTTATAATTCTTGACCTGATTTATTCATAGTGGTTTTCAACCTTTTCTTTGCATACATCTTCCTTTTAGCCTTTAATAGCTCACACTTTTTTTTTCTGTTTCTGAATTAGTATGTTTTCTATAAACTATTAAAGTAATGTTAATTAGCAAGTTACATTCCCCATATCTGTTTAAGGGCCAAATCTCTTTTAATATGTGTGTAAGTCTCAATTCTGTTAATGTTAACATGAGTTGATGGGGGGAATATAAAGAAAATATTAAATTTCTCTACTTGAGAGTATGAATCTTTAATAAAAAATTAAAAATGATGGCCTAGATTTGTTTGGAGTCTATGCTCTGACTACTCAATAAAAGAAAGTTAGAATCACACTTAAGCCATTTAAAATCCCCTTCCTGATAAAAATCAGTGATCAGTCAGAATATGGGAATAAAGCACGGTACATATCTCAACAGAAATCTACACTTTTTATTATTAGAGAAATTAATACTTCTAAGTGAAGCAAACCAAAAATAAGCATGTTATTTTGAATTTTCAGTTAAATCCAAATATCCCCCAAAGAATTAATGATGTATGATATAGATGTTCTGGGACTTACCGTCACTCAGCATTTTCCGTGACCATCAGATGCCAGTAATTACTCTTCTCATGCAAGGTTCTTTTATGACTTTGAGAAAACGAAATACTTTTAAAAATAAATGCTACAGTGGTTTAAATACAAATCGAATGAAGAAGGGCACACGTGTATCTTTTTAAAAAAATATATTTTATTGTTTTTTTTACAGAGAGGAAGGGAGAGGGATAGAAAGTTAGAAACATCGATGAGAGAGAAACATCCATCAGCTGCCTCCTGCACACCCCCTATTGGAAATGTGCCCGCAACCAAGGTACTTGCCCTTGACTGGAATCGAACCTGGGACCCTTCTATCTGCAGGCCAATGCTCTATCCACTGAGCCAAACCAGTTAGGGCAAGTGTGTCTTTATTAGGTATTGATGCTTGCCAACATAATAGTACCTGATTATTAAACCTGCTACCATTTTCTCAGTTTATTTACTGCATAAATGCTTTCAGATCTCTTAGCACCTTCTCCCAGAAAGAATAGTGATTTGATCCCAATGTGCTGTGGAATCTTCTTTCTATGGGAACAGTGAGCAGTGGCATGGTGTGCTGTATTCCTCATTGCCTCTGATTACACAGAGATGGGACTGAACCTGTTGGGGTGTGCACCTTCAGATAGCCTGCGCTCTTCCAAGGGGCTTTTGTTATATCTGCCACTTCTGATTTGTATGTTTTGAAAGATAATATTTAAAAAATGCACTTACATCATTGAGACACATGAATTCATCAGATTAAAAACATTATTTTAAGTAAGCTTGAAGATAATTTTATGTCTAGAATCATAGGAACATAATATTTAGATATATATTAAGTTTTTATAAATAAAAGACAGAAAATAGGCTTTTTAAATTACGAATCCTATATAATAAAGCCTAATTGCAAATTGACCAAACAGCAGAATGACTGGTCGCTATGATGCACACTGACCACCAGGGGGCAGACGCTCAATACAGGAGCTGCCCCCTGGTGTCAGTGCGCTCCCACAGCGGGGGAAAGGGGGAGCACCGCTCAGCCAGAAGCCAGAGTCACAGCTGGCGAGTGCAGTGGCGGGAGCCTCTCCTGACTCCACTGCTGGCAGGCGGTAAGGAGCAAGGGGTCTTGGACTGCAAGAGCCCTGGACTGTGAGAGGGATGTCTGACTGCCGGCAGGCGGACATCCCCCGACGTGTCCCAGACTGTGAGAGAGTGCAGGCCAGGCTGAGGGAAACCCCCCTCCCCCAATGCACAAATTTTGTGCACCGGTCCTCTAGTTTAAAAAAAGCAAACCATATTCTGTTTAAGAAATAA